AAGACGTCAAGACGGCTTGCAGCGGATGCGGACGCGAATCCCTGACCTCGCGGCTGTTCTCGTGCTCAAACTGCAACGGGTCGATCCTGTGCGGGGCGTGCTCGGTGCGTGAGCATAGGAATCATCTTTTGGTCGATTTGGGAGCCGTCAAACTCGCCAAGATAGAAGCCCAGACCTTGCGAGATGTTCATCAACACTACGATGGGTTGTTTGGGAATGTTGCGCACGTCCATGACTTGATTGCGGCCAATACGAAGCGGTTGGTTGCGGAAACAATTGAACATCTGCAGGTGGGTTTAAAAGGCCGTCCGCCAGCTACCCGACCTGTCCCCATTATGGCTTGGCACAGTTTTTTCGACCCTATTTTTATGATGCCATCTGTAAGAGCGTGACCGAATTAGTAGGGTGGCATAGTTTTGAAAGTTTAAAAAGTTGATTTTCGGGGTTTAAATGGCCGTTAAAGTTGCCGATATCAAAAACCTATCTCGAAAATTACCGGACCAAATTTGCTGAAAATTTGTGACAATACCTAATTTGGAATGGAGATCATTTCTCTAATACATTTCAAAAACTGAAATGGCTGGAACATAGGAATCTCGCGTACTAAAACAGTTTTTTTAAGATTTTCTACTTAATGGGAAATCGGCGGCATCCTGAAAATAACATAGAAAAATGCGCCAATTTTTTCTACGTCGAATGATGTGTCTTTTAGGATGCCGCCGTTTTCCCATCATCTAGAAAAGTCGTGATCTCTGGAATCAACAAAAGTGGCCTTAGAAGATAGGGGGCTGCGAATGAGAAATATAAAGCGATTGCTGAGGAAGACATCTAGAGATCAATGCCACCGATTATCAAAAAAGAGCAAAATTAAATTCCTCATCTACGCGAAGTTGAGTACGGAGGGGAATCGAACCCGCGATGGTCCGCCTGGGGGGCTCTGGGGACAGGGGCTAGAGGGCGCCGCCACCTCCCAGGCGAACGACCCGAGTTCAATCCCAGCCCCTTTTAGAAACCGAATTTCTTTTTTGCTCTTTTTGAAATTGACTTGGCTGCGCTTCTAGAAGCAAGTGGGTGACTCCCCGTTTGAAAACCTGGATATTTTTCTTTTTTTCATCAAGAAAATGCCGTTTTTACGGATGATGGGAAAACGGCGGCATCCTAAAAAACACATCATTCAACGTAGAAAAAATTGGCGCATCTTTCTATGCTATTTCCAGGATGCCGCCGATTTCCCATTAGGTTAAAAATCTGAAAAACTGTTTTTAGTACGCGATATTCCTATGTTCCGGCCATTTTCAAGTTTTGAAATGTATTAGAGAAATGATCTCCATCCCAAATTAGGTATTGTCACAAATTTTCAGCAAGTTTGGTCCAGAAATTTTCGAGATAGGTTTTCGATGTCGGCAACTTTAACGGCCCTTTAAACCCCAAAAATCAACTTTTAAAATTTCAAAACCATATGGCCCCACCTAATTCGATCGCTCTATCCCATGGCGTCAAAAAACAGGGTCGAAAAAAACTGTGCCAAGCCTATTTCGGATGGCTGACAAACGGCCTTTTAATTACAAAGCAGTTAGAGCTTTAATTATGAATATTATCAACTTTATTTACGAACAATACTATTTTTTAGCTGATCTCGAAGCAGAAGGCGTATGCAAATGGGGTGCTGATTAGTGAAGCTTTGCGGAAGAAGGCCGATGAATTTGAGGGACACTTTGAGGTAACGCGCTTGATAGGTCCACCAGTTTTTTGCAAATTTTGAGGGCATTCCGGTCCGGATTTAACTTATTGCGATGCACCCTATTGTAGCCCATAAATTCTTCAATTTTTGGCGTTTCGACACAAAAAAATTTCCACAAAGAAGTTTTGTCGAATGAAAAGTTCAAAAATTGGCTAAAAAACTAAAATTCTTTACCTTTAAATTTTAAACTATCCTTGCTAGGCGTTTCCTTTTTCTTAAATCAACACTATTTTTTAGGAATATCTGCCGAGAGCCCGCATCTACAACGACAAACTGATCGATTTGTCGGATGAGGGGAAAGCCCTGATGTCCAATTTCAACACCAAAACTGACAAGACCGAGGCCATGGATGGGCAAAATGCTATCAAGATTCCCGTCGGCTCCCCCATGTGAAGGTTTGGAGAAAATTTACCCAGCCCTGATACAGCTCTGATAACTCCATGCCAACCCCGTTTTTGAAAATGCGCATTTTTTCTGGTTCCTGGTTGCAACCTGGTTGGTTGAAAAATGAAACTGTGGTTTTCACCAGTTCCGGCCTGGAGTTTCGTCTATCTGTCGTACTCTCTAGTATCATTTCAGTAGATATTTATTTACCTCCCTCACCTACTCTTTTTTTCTCCCGCTCTTCTTTCTCGCCTCGCTCTGTGGCTACTTCTCCCTCCCTCGCTCTCTCGTTCTCTCGCCCGCTCTCTCTCTCTCGCTCTCTCGCTCTCTCTCTCTCTCTCTCTCTCTCTCGCTCTCTCGCTCTCTCACCATCCCTATATCTATCCCGCGTTTTCTCCCTGCCGCTCTCGCTGTCTCTCTTTCTCACTTTATTTTTTCAGCTCATCTCTTTACATTTGTCTGGTTCGATTTGGTCATGGAAATAAATAGTTTTTAGTCGATCACTTAATTCGGCCAAGCAAGACAAGCCAAGGCATCAAAAATACACGCCAAGGACAAACAAGGTTTTCATTTTTCTTTAACTTTCCACCTTTTAGACCTATCAACGGCAAGCAGCAGCCAACAAGAATCAAAAGCGGGCGTGGGCCAAGAACATTGTGCTAAAAAGTTATTTCGGTGTTCATTGCCTTGCTTGCGTAATAGGACACACCGCCCGTACAGCCCCCGCTCATTGAAGGTGGTATCCTGTTTTGGGTGCGTTTCTATGGCTGCGGTCGGATCCAAAAAAAGCCGCCCACATCTGAAATGGATATATAAATAAGCCTTGAATTTTGTAACTATTTTAAACAGTATCCTCAACAGCATTAACTAATATCCATCAATTACTGAGATTTTCAGAATTTTCGGAGCTTTCCGATTCGGTAGGTTTTGAAAACCTTTTGGGATTTTTGGGTTTTCCATTTTTCAAGGGGTTTTTAATAATTGTTTAGTTAATAGTTTTCTGGCTTGAAAATTAATTTTTTAATTGATGCTAGACAAAAACAGCTATCATAAATATATGGGTGGGGGCGGGGGGGCGCGAAGGGCCCTCGGGGGCCTTTGGGGTGGGCTGGGGGCGCCCGCCATGGTTTTGCGGGCGCCCGCCCCCCCCGGGGCTGTGGGTTAAAGGCTCGTCATGCCCTTTTTTGTAATTTCCCCCTGGGTCATATTTCGAAAATCGCCGCTTCGATAAGAGGAAAATTCCCCACAACTAAAAACTATTAATGAGTGTTGGGGGCGGTTTCTAAGTTTTAAAGCTCGTTCACGCTCTGAACGGCCGTGGTCGTGCATCGGAATCCGAGAAATCACTGGTCTTCGGAGAACGGTCATCTCTTTTCTTTCTCTTGAAATCTATCATTCAATTACTTTTCCCATAACATATCGCATTTTCCGCATCTGGGTTTCGGGCCTCCTCTCCCCCCGCCACCCCGGCGCCCCCAACGCCAGGGGGTCCCTTGGGGGCCCCGAGGCCCTGACCAATATATAATATAAACCTTTCAGGGTAGCGGAAAATGATTCAATGTGGCTAAAATTCTATGTAATTTTTGACATAATTCCCGTAATTCCACCTTCCAGCTCCAAACCCAAGATGCTTCTCGACTTCTTCAACTGCACCAGCTGCCAAAAGCCCTTTGAAGCAAGGCTCAGAACCCCGAGGACTCCTACACATTTCGGCGACAAATTATGGTGTCGAAAGTGCTGCTGTGGATATGGGCATCCGGCTAAATACCTTGTTGATCTCCTCGATCAGCCGGGACTTGCAAGAACCAAAGCTGGATGGGTCGTGGTGGGACCTTTAAAACCTGTAGAATGCCCTGATTGCAAAGAGGTACTAGACGCCAAGTCGAAGCATGATGTCGGCCATATTCTGGCTTGCTGCCAAGCCAAGGCATCTGTCTTTGACTTTTTCAATAAGGACCAAAGACAAGTGGAAACCATTGGATGCCAGAAAATGGGCTCAATTAGCCAAATGAACTGCAAATTCTGCGACCGATCACTGCGACCACTTCATGATTTCACCGAAGAAAATGTCATCTTCAAATTCAATGCTTTCATCAAAGAAAAATACCCGATTCTGAAGAAGCTGATGTATAACGTGGCTCTTAAGGAAAATTGCGATGAATGCAATAAGGAATTTGGGGCCGGAGTTTTGGTTGCGAAAAGCGGGAAGACATTTTGCAGTCATTGCTATGATGCGGGAAAACCGGAAAACGGATATTCCGATTCGTGTGCATTAACCAGCATCGATTCTATTTTCTACGAAGAAACCCGGAAGCCTGATGGCAAAATCTGAATACCAAGTCTCGTCAGTGAAATTTACCAAAAAACTTTAAGAAAATGAGGATAAAGATATTCAAATTAATGGCTGTTTGATATACCGTTTCAAACTTGCAATTTGTGCCCGGTCTGCATTGTTTTTATTACTTTTGAGCATTTTTTTCAATTCGTGATCAGATAAAGCTTTGAAAATACATCGCAAGGTTAGAAAGACGCCGGAATTGTTGCGCTACATCAAACCAAAATAACTGTCGACCCTTTCAGGTGTCGGGAATTTTCAAGCATCCCGGTCGGTGGTTTCCATAGTTGCGCGCGCTAGTCAGGTAGCGTGTTATTTCCATCCAGACTTCGGAATTTATTTTGGCCTGATCTTGTTGCCTTCGGAAGCATTTACCTAAGATTGATGTAGCCCTATCATTCGATGTCTTTCCTGAAATCTAAACGTGGGAATTCTTGCGCGCAGCTTTCGATGAATAAGCTTCCAGAAATGCTTATCGAGTGCTTCAATTGCCCGAAATGTAGACGGCCATACGATGCATTCCTGTTCTATCGCAACCCAATGGTCATCTTTGTCGGTAGAATCATTGGAGAGGTATGCTGTCGGGCGTGTGCGGCCCGTAGGAGGGGGGGGCCCGGGCCCGCCCCCCCCCCGGCGGGGTCCGGAAGGTCAAAGGGGACGGGACCCAGATATATAAATGCGCGCCCATTATTGTTTTTAAGGGGCAGTTTTACAAAGCCATTTTCCAAAATTTTTGGCGCTCGATAATCTTAGTGCACAATTGTCTAATAGGTTTTTAAATTTAAAATTTTTGGCGCCTGCTTGATGGTGTTTTCCCACCAATTTGTTCGTAACGAACACTCTTTGATAAATTTTTTTGTTGGGAAATTTTCCCCCCCTTCGAAATTCCGCCCCCCCTACGGGCGCGCGTCGCCCAACGGGAATAACTACGACCATGGTCGCCTTCTCGATCGACTACTAAGCGTTGGCCAATAAAAGGCCGGAGGGCCGGGTGGCTATGAAGCGGCTGGAACCGCAGCGATGCTCTAAATGCTCAAGCCCGTTTGAAAGCTCGCTCTCGGGCAATGAATTCACGAGTCGCTTCCGAATTTTATGCAAGAGATGCTCGGTGACGACAGCGAGCTCGGTAATTCTGCAAGTTTGCAAATTAACTAGTTTCGATTTTTATTTGGATTTGGCAAGGAATAGGTTATTTGCGATTTTTTTCAGTTCTGCGACTCCGATGTTTGCAAATGCGCATCCGACAACCCCGTTCTATCGATCAGCCGCTCCTACCACGACTACGAAAAAGCGTCTGCAGACCATGAAAAGAAGCCGATCGGCTCAATTACAGCCAGACTAGTGCAATCCTGCTCTCGTGTGTTCCGCCATGGGCGAGAACTGCCTGGGGACGCCGAAGCAACTAATGGCTCATCAATCTCAGCATCAGAAAAACCGCGCCTTGCTGCGGAAGAAGATCTGAATAAGGTTTGCAACCACTGCGGTAGCGAATTCATGATCGATGTGGTGTTCTCCTGTGCCGACCGCGATAACGTGGTGCTCTGCGGGGTCTGCTTGGTACGCTGGCATAAAACTCACCGGCTGTTGGATTTGGGAGCCGTAAAACTAACCGAACTTGAGCAACAAACTGCCAGTGATATTCAACCCCAGTATGATGGTATTCATGGAATGGTGCAGGACGTCCACGATCAAATCGCGATGACCATGAAAAGATTGGTCAGGGAGATCGTCGAGGATTCTCAGGTTGCCCTGAGTTCCTTAACCCTAAAGGATTCAGACTTTTAGTTAATATCCCAGCAACAAAAGTATGCGAAAGGGATTTTGATTTTTCAATTAATTTTTGAGAAAAAAGGCGGACGATCTTGAGAAATACTTTGAGGTAAGATTTTGCAGAATAATTTGTTTATGACAATTGGATACTAATGTAATAGAATTTTCTAGGTATATCTGCCATATCTTCGGAGCTACAACGAAAGCTTGCTTGAACTGGCCGGAGAGAGAAGGGAGCTTCTGAATGAATTATACAAAGGCGTCGAACAAGCTGATGACAAATAAATATCCCCGCGTGTTGACTGATCCGATAAAATTCTGTAAGTCCTAACAATAAATCCCAGATTTTTTACAATAAAAAGTTTTCCGCAAATCAAGGAGCTTTCATAGTGAACTTTTCAAACGCTAAGCAATTGCGTTTAAACCACGAGAACTCATTTCCGTCATCTCCAGCTACCGATTGTCGGGCTTCGAGATTTTAGCAAACAGGTTGCCATGGTTTCCTGGCCATAGCCATACCCAAAATCCCTCAACCCCAGTTTCTTCTCGTAAACAAGTTAGTTTCTCATTTTACAATTTTATGAACCATTTGACAATATAAGGGATCAATCCGTGATATTTTCTATTCAAGAACATTTTTTTGCAGACCATACCTAATTTAAGCTTTAGCTAACTCGGCTTGACGACAAATGTTCCTCCCCTTCCTGAACTGCCAGAAATGCAACAAGCCTTTCATGGCAAAACCAGGCCAAAAGCGCGCCCCGATGATCGACGGGGGTAGGATGGTCTGCCGAAAATGCTCGTCGAAAGATGGTATGGCGGCAAAGTACGTGACACGGTTCCTCAAAAATCGCCACGGTGTGCTGCTTAGAAGCCGATTTCATTGGCTCATCGCTGGCCCGCAAAATCCTGTAAGGTGCCCGGATTGTGAGAAGCCTTACGATGCTATTACGCACCCGATCAAGCTTCGACTGGTCTGTTTGCATGAGGGGCGCTTTATATTTGGCACTGCTAAACATGCAATCCGATGCGTGGACCGGATTGGCTGCAATCGATCAGCAATTGATGAAAAGCGCTGGCTCCGTGCTGAAGGGATTCGTGGCCAATGTCAACACCTGTCCGAGCCTGTTCCTAGCTTGCGAGATGAGATAATCTACAAATACAATGAATTCGTCCTTACGAAATATCCGATATTTGTCACTCTATGCCTCGACAATGCAAGAATGGAGAAAAATTGCGGGCATTGCGGCTCCCGCCTCCAGGAGACGATGCTAGTTCGGGAGGGGCACAGGGCGCTATGCAACGAGTGTTACAACGGTGAAATGGGCGATAATCAACGAAGATGTGGTAAATGCGCAGAAATGACGCGTGACCACTACCTACCCTGCGATGAACTTGTGCGATGGCATCAAAGGACGACCAGGCGCTATAAGGAATTGATAATGGTCCGTCAAGGTCAACTACCCGACTTTAAAGGAACCCCATGCCATGAAAGTTTCGACCTGCACTCGCGGCGTCAAACATTTCAATGCACGGATTGCGATGATCGGATCCTGTGTGGCGCTTGTGCTATTCGACGACACAGAAAGCACAGGGTGGTCGAGAACGTCAGCGTGGCGCACACCCCCTATCAGATTCCGAGTGTAGATCACAACAAAGGAAGGAAGATGAGGAGCGGTACGGAATAGTGAGTGAAAACGTCACTTCCGTCCACGCGTTGATCGGGCAAAATCTGCAGCGTCTCATCAACGAGGCGGTCCCCGGGCATAAGGTTAGTTATCACTTTGTTTTTGTAGCATAAAAAGTATGTTCATTGCGACAAAAAAACCGAAAACACGTCTCCTTCGATATTTGGTCACCCGTGATTTGGAATTACACGCGCACTTAGATATTTTTAAAACCGTCCGATCTATTTATCATTACGCCGAAAACAACCAAATCAGTTTCAGTTCATCGACAAATACCCGAACCTCACACTGGCCAGCGTTTCGTTGTCGCTGAGGGTGGACTCGCTCGTTAAGCTCTCTGAGGCATATCTACCACACGCCGATGCCTATAACGAAGGCCTGCTTGACTTGTTTGATGACTGTCACAGCATAATAACTTATTTCGACCGTTTAAATTTAGTGCGGACCGAGAGTCACCTAAAACTGCTTGAGCAGGGCTTCCCCTCCGCTCAAATGAACTGCTAAATTTGAATTAAAAATCATTGAACCCGATGCAATAAAAGTTGGTCACGAGCATCCACACCGCGGTTCTACCCCTGAAATATGATAATACTCAAATATATAAACATTTCGAGCTAACAGGGTTATTAGCCTCAAACAACGTTCAAACTTTTGCTGTGCAACAGGACGGTATCGCGCGGCCAAGCCCTGCCTAACCTTGTTTGTAGCGGATTATTTACGAATGCGAAAATGTGCAAAGGGTTCCCGCACGAGTTCGGCTTCATTTCTAAACTGACTATACTTTTTGCAGCGTACTAGTTTTAAGTTATTAAGTCATCTGCCACTTACTGTAGTCGGTCTAAAATATCACTGCCAAAGGGTCCCCTTTGCAGATGTTGCTCGACTTCCTGAATTGCGAAAAATGCAAGCAGCCGTTCAAGGCGCAGTATAAGAATTCGAGGTCGCCAATGCTTTACGGAGACATTATTTGTTGTCGTCGTTGCTCGAAAGGCCATGGTTATCCCGCCAAATATATTATCGATATCCTCAAGCAACCTGGGTTATTTCGACACAAGACTGGATGGATGGTTATTGGCAAGTTATTACCATATTTTTGATTGTCCGTCCGTGAGCTTCCGGTACACTGGGTCCTATAGTACTGTAGCGTACGATCAGAGGAATTTGAGAATGTGCATGACGTTCGAAAAAGTACATGTACGAAAATGTGCCTTTCGCCAAAAATTTGCCTTTAAGGGCGGCCCAAGTAGCGTTTTCTTAAATGGCTTTCAGAGCTGCCAAAGCTTTTTCGGGCTGCCAAAATACGCGAAACCAGGAATTGTGATTTTTGCTGCACGCCCTTTCTTGGCAAAATTTTCAGAAATTCAGCCAGTTTCACAAAAATCCTTGTAAATGCAAAAAAAGTTACGGAATTTCGGATAACGGATAAAGCATCGAGCCTCAGACTCAGCGCTTTCGCTTTAGATAGATGAATAAATCGTAAAAATGCGAGATGTCTGCGTGCGGCTAAAGGGGGGGGGGATTGGGGACACCCTGTATAACGTCTTGACCATGCAGAATTATTTTCATTTTTTAGGTCCGTTGAAACCAGTTACCTGCCCTGACTGTAAAGAAGTGATAGACAACGCACATCTCGTGCGACGCATCATCAAATGTCGCCACTGGAGCCTACTTTGGTGGACGGCGAAGGAAGGGCAGAAATATGCCGACTTGTGCGGTTGCGAGAAAGCAATTGGCCTCGGCAACGATATTGCGTATGCCCGCATTGCTCGTACCGTAGTGAAGCGCACAACGTATCTCCAAAAGATCGTATAATCAACAAATTCAACGAATTTATCAGCCAGAAACAACCGTACTTGCAAAGAATTATGGACGGCAGTATCGTGCTCACGAGCTGTCAGGGTTGTGAGGGTCAAATCGTGGCTAGTCAGGAACCATCCGATTTGGACCTTGGAAAGTTATTCTGCCGGGAATGCCACGAGGAGCGTGCACTTGAGAAAAAATGCGGAACTTGCAGCTATAAGGTGGCTGATCACCGTATCCCATGCTCAGATATTTGGAAGGTGCGCCAATGGAAGGAAAACCTATGCAAGGTCACCAAAACTTTGCAATCGAAACGCAAACAGAAAGAGAAAGAAAAACAGCCATGTGGAGAATGTCACGAGGTTCAACCGATCTCGGACTTATTCACTTGCCACAAGTGCCACCAAGGCGAGAAGGCAATTTGTGGCAAGTGCTCGGTGCGCAACCATAATGATCATTCGGTAAACGAACATTTCCCCTTTGAGTTAAGTCGGATCAAAAGACGCACTACTGAGGATGCGGGCGAACAGTACGATGGATTGCGAAAGATGGTGACGTATATACAGGCGAAGATCGAGGAAAACACGAAGCTGTTAATTGATCGCTCCATGAATCGTGCAACGGTATGTTTTGGCTTCACTCGCATTTCGGTACTATCAAAAATCAGCAGTTTAATAATTTATTAAATTGCTTTTGGCCCAAAACACAGTAAAATCCTTGACTATGCCTAGAATGTCCCCAAAAAAATCGACCACCCAGTGGTCCGCAGAAGCAGTCGATTTTGACGATCTAGGTATCTATCGAAAACCCCCGGGAAGGCGAGAAAAAAAGCAATTGTGGGTTTTCAATATGGATGTTTTAATTCGCGAATTTTAGGACAAAAATCCATGAAAACTGCAGATTTTATGCAAAACCAGCATGGCGCTAATCTTACGCTGATTTAAGAAATCGTGAATATCGAGCGAATTTTGTGAATTTTTTTGAATTTTGTAAAACAAAGGCCTTTTCGAACGGGTGTAAAAACCATCCCAATCCGCCCTTTCTGCGGACCGCTCGAGGGCGTTTGGGAAATCTGTATGTTCAACGTCCAAGTCTCCATAAAATTAAGAATTTTTCAGCTCATCCCCATCCAGCAGGTCTATTCCACCGGAGTGTTGCTCAGCGATACATTGAGAGATACTGTCAACCAATTTGAAAAGCATTTTGATGAATATCTGCCGCATGCCCGCATCTACAATGGGCGCTTGGAGGACTTGCAAGAAGAATTGGAGCATAGCCTTAAACAATTGGACCTGCACGAGACCTATCTATCGGGAGTTAAAGAGCGGGAATCATAAAGAAAATTTAGAGCTTTTTTCCAACCGTGTGTCTTCTATCTTTTTGGTAGGATAAATTTTCCTAAATATCTGTATTTCCTTGCGACGTTCAAATAGACATGCAATCTTCTAAACAAACAAAAGTTGATATGGGCCCGATACCTAAAAACTGTACGTAGCTGTCATTATTTTGAATACGTTTTAATGTTTATGGAAGGGAAGCGACAATGTTGATTACTGCCGGCCCCTGTCGTGATTTAACCTCAAAAATACATTTGCTCCCTGTTAAACTCGTGCTCGGTTTGGGCGCTGTCGAGAGCAAGGTTTCGCTGACGAGATGAAAAGACCTCTCTGCTCCCTCAGCCTAATCCGCACTCCCTCGCCGATCGCCACCAGCGCAATCGTAAAAAATCCGCCTAGTTCCTGAAAGTACGCCACTGTACTGTTTAGTTCCCTTGTTATTTCAATTTGATTTATGTTATTGAATTTTATCCGTTGATTTGCGTTGCTTATTTTGAGTGTAATGCAGGTTTCTGAAATGAATCTTCCAACGGAGTGGGCATTGATAAAAGTTAAACTTCTGAATATAAGTTAAGCCAACATTTTACATCGCAGATTATTAACGCTAAGTTACCAATAGAACGAGACCTTGATCTTCTTTAATCCAACTTTTTCCGGAATATAATAACTTTACATATCTCTCGATCATTTTTCCTGACGAACAAAGTTACAGATATGCTGCTTGAATGTTTCAACTGCCCGAGCTGCTCGCGCCCATTTCAGATACGGCCGCACAATCAATACGATCCGCACATCTACAGTCAATGTCAAAACGGTCACAGCGTGGACCGGCTACGGTAATGTGGATAAAAGGGAGACGTACAAATGTCCGCGAGTCGCTTTCTCAATTGGTCTCCCGTTCTCATCCTGAACATGCATAAACGCCGCTTTAGGCCGGTGCACCTGAACCCACTTCTCGAACAACCCAACGTCAAGCGGACACGGCATGGCTGGGTTGCAGTCGGTCCATTGATCGAGCTCACTTGCGAGGCTTGTTCGTCCCCTCTAGACTATCCCCCCGCCGTTGAATCGATGCTGTCGATTTAAGCTTCTTTGCAGAAAATGCTTTGACTTCAATTACCTGGTAGGTGGAACCGATAGTATCAGTTTCGAAAGAAAGTGATGGCACCAAACCTTTGATTCGCTCCACAGAGTGGTCAGAAAAAAGTGCCTGGTTTGCACTGAAATATCTCGTTGGGGGAAACGAATCGGACCATCGTTACCTTGCCAGAATGCTTAAATATGCTGGGTATGAAGAATAAAGACAAGTTGTTTTTTATGGTTTTCGACGACCCACTACTCGTCAAGAATTTTTGAACATCTTTGAAAAAAAATAGAAAACTTTGAAGCTATAAGGTATGCAACTTTTTTATGAGTGATGGTAAAGTGTAGGGTATTAAAATTAAGCTCTCAGAATGCGCTATCGATTCAGTGATAAAGAATATCGATCCGTTTAACTAGCCGTCAATAGGAGCGTTCGGAAAATCGGACTTTTCCAGAAGGTCTTCCGGTTAGCAACAATAGATACCTGCTAACTTTTGGCATCAAGCTTTTCAAAATCCCGATCAAAAAAATTTTTGGCACTTTGCCAAGTCGACGGAATTTGTAATTTCTATGCTCCTATAGCTAAAATTATAACATGGTCATCTTTGGCAACCAGGATTACATGTAACAAGTCCAAAATGTTATGGCAACAATTGGTTTTTCGTGGGCAACTAGGAATCGCACCGTCTGGGAAAGTCCCGATTGACGGCTAGTTAAACGGATCGATATTCTTTATCACTGAATCGATAGCGCATTCTGAGAGCTTAATTTTAATACCCTAGGCTTTACCATCACTCATAAAAAGTTGCATACCCCACCCAGAGCCCCAAATTTGATGGACGCCGAGATACCGGACCGGAAAGTTTCACACAATAAAATCAGCCGATCAGATGTCCAGATCATCAAAATTTGACAGCTTATGGCCAAATTATGCATAAGTGAATTTTGAGCATTTTTTTTTGAATATAATTTTTTTTGGAATTTCTTAGAATTCCTTAGAGCTAATAGAAGATTTTGTGCCATTACTTTTACATCTTACATGTTGTATGTAACATTTCATTTACATCTGAAAATCCTGGCAAACCACAAATCTTGATTTTCAGTGCGATCGGTGCAAGCTGCCTGAAGAAAGCGTCTCCGTGCTCATCAAGTACATGGCATTGGCAAAGAAGGTGCGAGACGCCATCGAAAAGCTAGCCGCCTTCTCGGAGCCTGGCATGGCCCAGAAGCCGACCTGCACACGATGCCAGAAGCGATTAGGACCACCCAAGAACCGACTGGTGGTAGCGTGTTCAAGTGTCTTTTGCCCGGAGTGTTACTACGAAACGGATATGAAGAAAGAGTGCCATCTTTGCGAGCTACCCTTCTCTATGCATGTCTATCTGAGCCAAGCACTTTCCGACCCAGACATCGGAAAAGGGAAAAACTCTCGAGTGAAAAAGGAAATCACGAAGGAACAAATACCAGCGAATTTAAGTGAAGAAATCACAGCTAAAGGCAGTGATGAGAAAGAAGACGAAGTCGAGCCATTGCAGCTCGAAAAGAAAACGATAGAATCCACAGAAGACCTGATGACACCATGCCAAGGATGCGGCGAAGAAGCTCTAGCGTCAAAGATGTTCTCCTGCGTCAATTGCAATAATTCGATCCTCTGTGGCACATGCTCGGTGAGACAACATCGAACTCACGAGTTGGTAGACGTGGGGTCGGAGAAGTTGAAGAAGCTTGAGCAGCAAACCATGGAAGCCGTTGCACAGCAGTATGATGGACTGAAGGGGATGGTTATACACATCCACGAGAAAATTGCGGAGAATATGAAACGCTTGGCCGAGGAGGCGGTCGAGAATTCGAAGGTTGGTCGAGGTTTCATGTCGTTAGGGGCAGACGTATGTAAAAAAAAATGGTTCTGGTTTGTTAGCGGGAGGGTTTCTCTGAAGGGGCGGGGGTTTAAAGACCGTCAGCAGGCCCGTAGGAAGGGGGCAACTGGGGCAAGTTGCCCCCAAAATCGGCCGAAGGCCGAAAAATTCATAAGGGGGGACCCTTATGATTTTTTTTTCGTGAAAATTTTTTTGCCTGCGGCGCTTTTTATAGTTGTTTTTAAGACTGTTTTTACTGTCTAGGCGCTAAGTTTTTCAAAAATTTTCGCCTGCGGCGCTGTTTTTGATAGTTTTGATACGTTGCCAAAAATTTTTTTTTGGAGTTGCCCCCCCCCCAAAAATCGGGGATCGCTACGGCCCTGACCGTCAGAACGATGAAATTCCGTTGAGAGCAAGAAAGTTGCGCACCGGGCGGGAGTCGAACCCGCGATGGTTCGCTCCACTCCGACGCGCTAGCCACTACACCACAGGGCCAAGTGGGGAAGGGAGCCAGAGACGCCCCAAACCCCAGAGGGCCTTTGCCCAGTACGGGGCACCACTAATGACGCATCTCTCCGCGCGTTCTTGGGGGCAGCACCCTCGGGGTGACAGTGCGCGTTCCATCGTTCTGGTAGTCTTTAATGACGTAGATTTTTCACAATTTCATTCCTTTTCGGAGACTGTATTATTGCCACCTCGTATAGCATCAAAAATATGTTAAGGATTTTAACCCTCGCTCAAAAACACAATAATTTAAAAAGGGTATAATAAAGGCAAAAAACAGCCTTGGAAATAGGGTTGGGACGTCATTTTTCGGGAATTTCGCTTTTTTTGCCATTCTGTGAATGCTCTTTGAACTAAGAGCATCACAAAGAACATTAAGTTTTTTACATACAACTCAAAGTAATGCAATTTAAGATAAGAGAACCGATTAATAGAAAATGCCCCCCGGCCCGATAACGGACAAGAGCCAAAAATATATAGGGTTTCCACAAATTTTCTGGATTCAAGAAAGAGATTTTTTGGTCTTAGAAAAAATAGGGTTGACCTAAAAGTTTAAAGTAAATTTAGAAAAAAAAAGTTGTTGGTAGGAAAATCAGAATAACTACTTATTTTAGATGATCTCGGAGCAAAACGTCTATGCCGATGGTCTCTCGATCAGCGACACTTTGAGAGAAAAAGCGAACGCTTTCGAGAGACACTTTGAGGTAAGAGCGTCTTAGCTCTAGTAGTATGAGAGGTATTCGAGAGCTCTAAAGATATCTCAAAAAACCCCAATTCCAGGAATACCTGCCTCTCGCCAGAATCTACAACGAAAAGTTGACCGACCTCGCCGATGAAAATCAAGCGTTGATCCGCCAATTCAAAAAGGGTCTTGCCATTGCTGAGAGCCCGGAAAAGAACGAAGAGGCGGAAGTGTCTACCCGGTCTGATCGGGACCCGCACGACAGCTCTCAGACCAAGAAACGCAAAAAGAATTTTAAAAAACCTGAATGACGCCTTCCTCCATCAAATTGTGCAACCTGGCCTTTTCCAGCTAAATAAACGAATTTTAAGAACTTTTGCGTCCCGAAAGACATTTCAAACAAGCAATTTTTAGCATTCAACTGTGCCTAAAATTCGTTGACGTTGGCTTTCTGCGCAAGTCCGCTAGTGTAGGCAAACACATTCATCGTTAATGTTTGGTAAATGGCAGGTCATGGTGCCGTCTGCGTCGCGGCCCCCGCCAACTTAATTTCGATCAGGGCAGATGCCAAGGAATTTGAAAAATTCCTGCCTTACTTATCTTTGGTATTCCTTACCTATCTATTAAATACTGATTTCTTTTAACATTGGGCATCGCAAAAGGCTTTGCGCCAATTATGGCTTTCGTAAATTTCAATAATTTAATAAGTAAATTTAATACGTAAATTGACGCCTTACGTTTTTTTCGATTTTTCGACAGCGTCTCCGTGTGCGCGTGACATTTTAGCAATTTTGCTTCAATTTCCCATCACATTACGCCTATTACCGCCATTTTAAGGCGATGTAAAGAAGGGAATTGATGTTTTGTGGTCGGGCGCCCCCCAAAAAAGTTTTGCATATCTCGCGCCATCATATAAATTGAGCGAAAAATAGCTCCTCAAGCCATAATTTTTCACAAAGACAATAGTTAGATTAAGTATGCACGAGATTTTGGGATACCTATCATTTGCATACACACGGTTTCCCAAAAAATCGACCCCCTCGTGCTAAAAAATTTCGGTAAAACGAAAGCGCTTCTTTCTCGCCTTGTCGAGGCCTTTCGAATGGTGTAAGAATTATCCCGATCAAAGCTTAATCCGGCCCGCTAGGGGGGGCTCGGTTTTTTTTGGGCACCCTGTAAATTCTTTGTTTTCAGGAATGCTGCTCGAGTGCTTCAATTGCCCAAAATGTTCGCTTCCATACGACCGAACTGGCCTTCCGCGTGCGCCTGTCTACCCTGCGTTCACTCCGCCCTACATATTATGCGGAATGTGTGAGCCGCTTGCTCAGCCAGCCCAATTAGTCCCGCTACTCTTCGAACAACCTAACTTGAAACAAACCCCGAAGGGCTGGGTGGCTGTGGGCCCATTGGACCCATTCGTTTGCGACTGTGGCAACTCGTGGTCCAAACCCCACGCGTCCTATTGCTGTCGCCGGATCGGATGCGAGCAGTGTTGTGCAGCGGTGGACGGGAAATGTTCGGCAAGTTTTTTAACGATACTTTTCTCGACCTTTAAGACGGGCGCCTCTCAAGGCCCCGGTGGGATTTCACAACGGGACCTGGCATACCTTATGCAATTTTTTGCTGATTCCGAATCTGTTTTCAAAAACTGCAAACTAGTTCGGATTCAAAAGTTACAACGTTATTAGTCCACTTTAAGCCAAAATTACAAAACTTAACGCGCGATTTACTGAATATATGCCTGATTGATTTTCTATAAAAAGAATATTCTCTGGTATTCAGATTTTTCCTAGCGAAGGAGTTCCTCAAGTCAAAATTGTCAAAAATCTAAAAATTGGTAGCGCCTGCAATTTTCGTCAATTTTGACGAAAAACTGCGTACTTGACACGCCGGTAAACGGCTAGAAGCTCCCATGTTTGAATCAAATTTAATTCGAACCAGAAAATATCCCTAGAAGATTGTGAGCTCTTTCGGAAGTTTATTTGTGAAAAAGCAGAACAGTAAAGCAAAAAGGGATGGCATCATGGCCACTCACTTGTCCGGGGCCAAAAAACGCAGGGCACTTTCAGCAGCGCCGATTTTCCATGAAACGGGGCAAATTTGCATGTATTTCTGGTTGGAGGGCGCGCCCTGGTGTGAGGCGCAGACGTTCGTATGCATTTTTTTTTCCACGATTCGTGGAAAAACTAAACTGCTGAAAGTGCACCTTTAAAGCCTCATAACTTTCAAATCCGAGCCATTTTGAAAACAGGCTCCAAATCAGCGAAAAATTCTGCAAAATTTGGCTGGGTCCGGCTCGACCATAGGTGGTTCCCCTGTAAATCGCATTAAGAATTCCCAGAGAGCCGATGACTGGAATCAGGTCTCACGGATATTAGACTCCCGGTCCCTGGATCAAGCACTTTTTCAGTTCTGCAACCACGATTACCGCGGGGCAATATCCGATGGTTCTTACGGCTTTACGACGCTGCTCGGCACTTATCGTCGCTATGTCGACCTGTACAATGAGGTCAACGAAAATGTCAAGCGGAGCCTGAGAGGCGAGCTCATCCAGAAGTCGCTATGCGGCAAATGCAAGAAGCGAATCGGGCAGGTCGAGGATCGGCTGGTGATATCGTGTACTAGCATCCTCTGCTCGGATTGTTACTACACAACTGACACACAGACCTTGTGTCATGTTTGCCATGAAACACCGGATTCGCATCTGATGCCCGGACGAGCACTTTTGGAAAGTTGGAAATCCGGGAAAGCTGTTGTCCCTAAATCTTGGCCTTCAAAAGATGAAGCACACGCGGATCACGTTTCCGAAAGAGGAGACACATTCGAAATTGCGCAACTAAAAGAATGTTTCGAAGATGCCGATGATCGAATGGTTCGCTGCCATGGATGCCGTGAAACATTCTTGGCCTCGCAAATGTTTTCGTGTGTTAGCTGCGACAATTCGATTCATTGTGGCACTTGTTCAATGCGCGAGCATCGGGCTCACCAAGTGGTGGACATCGGCCTGGAGAAGTTGAAGAAACTCGAGGAGCAAAACGGCGGGTGCTGTCGAGCAGCAGTATGATGGAGTGAAGGGGAAGGTTCGGCTCGTCCACGAGCAGATTGACGGGAATTTGGAGCGGTTGGCCAAGGAGGCGGTCCAGAATTCGAAGGTTGGTTGGTTTGGTTGATAAGGAACTTTTTCGAAATATAGGTTAATGATGAATAAAACGTGTTTTTATAGGTGATTTCAACGCAAAAGGTCTACGCAAATGCTGTCTCGATCAGTGATGCTCTGCGCAAGAACGCCGACGATTTCGAGAAGAATTTCGAGGTATTGTTACTCGGGGGCTGGGCTGTTAGCGGGGGCTGGAACCAAATTTTGCTCTGTGATTCTCTACGGCCCTATGACAAAATATAAACCATTTTTATAGCATTTTGCTAATTTCCTACCTTATATAATTTGGTCGCGTATCTTTGTCTGTGTGTGTGTCCGGCCGTCACTTTCGAGGCCCGATTTGAGGGCCTTCCCGTGCATAAAATGCCTTAATTCTCCGTCACCCGGGGGAATCGACCCTCCTCTTTCCGGTGGCGCTTTCAGAATCCCGATAAAATACAAGTTAACAAAGTTAAAGCCGGTTTTATTGATTTTTGGGGGTCCGGGAGGGCTAATTTGCATAATATGAAAAAATACAAATTTACTCATTCTTGCCAGTTGCACTCGCGAGTTTGGTCGTCTCTTTGGATCTGCCTCTCGATGCCTTTCCTTCCCCTGCCCCGGGCAGTCCTCTTGAGGCATAAAACGGGTGTTTGGCGCGTGCTACCAAGCATTGCATGGTGTAGTGGTTAGCGTTTCGCCGTGCTAATCTAACCATCGGAGGTTCGATCCTCGGACATTTTAGTTGTTTTGCTTTTTGCTCGGAAAGCGCGTTTCGGAGTGGATTTCCGTGTAAGGACGTTATTGTGAAGTTAGTCACTCAAGCCGCAGCCTATAGAATGAAGCTACCCGCTCAAGCATGCGCTGCAGGCCAAGGAATCAAGCTAACTGCTCAAGCTAGCGCCGCAGGCTTTATAACGAAGCATGCGCTCAAGCTAGCGCCGCAGGCTTTAGAACAAAGCTAGCCGCACAAGCTAGCGCCGCATGCTTTAGAACGAAGCTAGCCGCACAAGCTAGCGCCGCAGGCTTTAGAACGAAGCCAGCCGCTCAAGCTAGCGCCGCAGGCTTTAGAACGAAGCCAGCCGCTCAAGCTAGCGCCGCAGGTTTTAGAACGAAGCCAGCCCCTCAAGCTAGCGCCGCAGGCTTTAGAACAAGCCAGCCGCTCAAGCTAGCGCCGCAGGCTTTAGAACAAAGCTAGCCGCACAAGCTAGCGCCGCAGGCTTTAGAACGAAGCTAGCCGCACAAGCTAGCGCCGCAGGCTTTTAGAACGAAGCCAGCCGCTCAAGCTAGCGCCGCAGGCTTTAGAACGAAGCCAGCCGCTCAAGCTAGCGCCGCAGGTTTTAGAACGAAGCCAGCCCCTCAAGCTAGCGCCGCAGGCTTTAGAACGAAGCCAGCCGCTCAAGCTAGCGCCGCAGGCTTTAGAACAAAGCTAGCCGCACAAGCTAGCGCCGCAGGCTTTAGAACGAAGCTAGCCGCACAAGCTAGCGCCGCAGGCTTTAGAACGAAGCCAGCCGCTCAAGCTAGCGCCGCAGGCTTTAGAACGAAGCCAGCCGCTCAAGCTAGCGCCGCAGGCTTTAGAACGAAGCCAGCCGCTCAAGCTAGCGCCGCAGGCTTTAGAACGAAGCCAGCCGCTCAAGCTAGCGCCGCAGGCTTTAGAACGATGCCAGCCGCTCAAGCTAGCGCCGCAGGCTTTAGAACGAAGCCAGCCGCTCAAGCTAGCGCCGCAGGCTTTAGAACGAAGCCAGCCGCTCAAGCTAGCGCCGCAGGCTTTAGAACGAAGCCAGCCGCTGAAGCTAGCGCCGCAGGCTTTAGAACGAAGCCAGCCGCTCAAGCTAGCGCCGCAGGCTTTAGAACGAAGCCAGCCGCTCAAGCTAGCGCCGCAGGCTTTAGAACGAAGCCAGCCGCTCAAGCTAGCGCCGCAGGCTTTAGAACGAAGCCAGCCGCTCAAGCTAGCGCCGCAGGCTTTAGAACGAAGCCAGCCGCTCAAGCTAGCGCCGCAGGCTTTAGAACGAAGCCAGCCGCTGAAGCTAGCGCCGCAGGCTTTAGAACGAAGCCAGCCGCTCAAGCTAGCGCCGCAGGCTTTAGAACGAAGCCAGCCGCTCAAGCTAGCGCCGCAGGCTTTAGAACGAAGCCAGCCGCTCAAGCTAGCGCCGCAGGTTTTAGAACGAAGCCAGCCCCTCAAGCTAGCGCCGCAGGCTTTAGAACGAAGCTAGCCG